TAAATAAATAAAGAAGCCAGTGTGTATAAACGATGCATTGTGATTCAATTTCTTAGTTATCACCTACTCCTACATTCCACAATCTCTCACCTCAGCTTTCCCAAATTTGCCACTACATTTGGACTTTGAAGCTTTCTTCTTTCTAGAAAATTCTTCACATCATTTAAGTTTCAATTTAGTTCAGCCTTTTCAGCACAATTGTATACGCCCCTTAACTCTCTCACAAGCTTCTATACTTAGCTAGCAATTTCTGTAACTTTTTTCATTTTTTCATTACAAAGTCCATTTTGTACAAAGTAGCCACCTTAGACTTTAAAAACCAGAGAGGCAGCCAGCTCACGGTCTGAACTTAGTTCCAGTAAGTTATTTTCCCTTGGAAGGGTGTTTACCTTTTAGAAATATCACCACCCAGACGCTGCAGCTATGTTTCTTGCCCACCCAAAGGAAAATAACCTAAAGAATATCCTGTCTTTCTTGGTAATATGCTGAAATAGCAATACTCAGAAAGCCCTTTACTGTCAAGGTCTCTACACAGCTGTTAAGAAAATGACTAACAAGTACTTGTTTTGGCTTCTGTAAACTTGCTTACTGCTGCAAGGGTTCTTTAGCTAATAAGGAGGACCAATATTTGAATCTGTTTCTGATTTTTTCTCCTATACTACCTTCCAATACTTCAGGTGCAGTGATTTCTAAAGTAGGAATATGTGGACCTTTTATAGACAATAATTTCTAGCCCTACCAGGCCTGTGAGAAAACAAAGGGCATAGTAGGCCATTGTCCCAAAATGAACTCAAAAGAATCTCATAAGAGAGGAGGTAAATCACACTACCATCAACTTTCCACTAGAAGGTTCTGGTAGCAAAATTATTACAAAATTAATCAGAAGCATCTCAGTGAATTCCAACTTATCTATTCCAATACAAAAGAGAAAGACAAAAAAATAATAAATTAAAAAAAGATGAAGACAATTAAAAATTTTAATTAGACTTAGCCAGTAAATAAATAAGACAATATTGAGTTGAAAGTCAAAGATGATTGCAAATAAATTTTTAAAAAATATCACGAAGTGAAATAAAATTAAAATATGGCTTTAATCAGTCATATCTCCCTAACCATCACAATCAAATCCAACAAATGAAGCAATGTTAGAGGTTTTAATTATTTGAGCACAGTAAAGGTTTTATTTCCCTTGTCCTTTTACAGAATGTCTTCCTTGCTCATCTGTTCTGCAGCTTGATTTCCTCCTATCTTTTTTTTTTATCATGCACGGACTCTTATTTATTGTGGTCTTCTTTCCCTCCCTTTCACTCTATGCTTTCTTTTCTAAAGAGATTGATACCATTCCCAGGTACTTGGCTCTTCCACCCATTCTAGATGAGGCCATTTAGACAAAGGTGATTCTCCTGGGAGGCAAACCACAAGACCTCTCCCGCCTTTGCTTTGTTTTATGTGAGCTGATCCCAGGAATGCTTTTGTGGAGTATGTTCATTGAGGAAGAATGGGTAACCTGGTTACCTGAGATGGCCTTCCTGCTAGTCATCATCAGACAAGCAAGAGCCAGGGATAACATATTATATGTGTGCCTACAAGGAAACGAAGAGCCTCCAGATTCTTTGATTGTTACATATACACAGTATTTCTGCAACTGAAGGAAATTTATAAAGACAAGCTGCCATTAAATTGTGACTCATATTTATTGACTGCCCTCTACACACACACAATCACAATCACACACACAACCACACACACGCGCACACACACACACACACACACACACACCATAATTTACAATGCTTAGTTGGGGCTTAAAAGAAACGTGTGGCTCCTGGCCTGCTACCCTACCCTCAGGCCTCTAGGGGTGGGTCCATCGTGGAGCCCTCCGGGCAGTGACTCCCCCGGCCTCATTCACCCTTCCATCTCTGTTGCTGTTCTCTGCTCCTGGTTTGGGCCCTGCACCATTCCTGGTCTTGTGTCCCCAGACACCTGGGGAACTGGTGCTGCTTCCTGATCCTTTTCGCCCAGGCCAGGTTGGTGCCTTCCTTGGGCCCCAGGAGCACTGCTTCCGCGGGACCTGGCCCTGCCCTCACCTCTCCCTGCTTC